GAATTTTAAGGATCAAAAAGCATGTTGTGGAATTGTGAGGCAAGAGCCATGTAGACCTCCTAGGCAAGGACCAGATGTAGACCTCCTAGGCAAGGAGCATATAAACATTTCTATGCAAGGGGAATATAAAATCCCTAGGCAAGGGAAATATAAAATGCCTAGGTATTCCTAGGTATGGGTATAACATTATAGAATTACTAGGCAGGGGGCATGCAGGCTTAGTTGCAGTGAACGTTACAGCTCTTTCTTTAAATGCCACAATGAATAGCATGATTAGGTACAATATTGATTATTATTGATTGCTTTTGTCTCCAGTTATTCCATCTCATTTCTTTGGCTTTGGTACTATAGTTTTAAAGAATAGGAATTAGCAATAATAAATGTTTAATAACAGCTTTTCATTAAGTAGCATCTAATTATTTACTTATTTCTGTTTTTTTTCTTCCAATAAATACAGTGGTTCAAATTCTATCATTCTGAAGCTACATTTACACTAAGCATGATAATAACAACATATCATCGCATCGTTTGTATTCTTTAAATTGAGTGCATTTTTGGTTCCTATGCTTGGAATTTTGCAAGTTAAATCATCACAATAACACATAGTAACCAGGTTCTCTGGTTTTTCCACCATCCATTTGAGTACCATTGAAATGTGGTCCTTATGGCTTGGCATTTTTTAGGAAGAAAGATAGATGGTTATATACACACTGAATTGGGAAAGCAATTGAATTCATGTCTAAACCATAATAATTAATCTCATTAATACAAGAATAATGAATATTCTGGGGTATCTCCAAGATATTACTCAATCCTATTGGCAGACGGTTATCAGTAAATAAACCGCATCATGTAGGCCTATTTTCTACCTAAAAAAAAAAAGATACCACATTTAATTTAGGTCCTATGCAAATTATCTTAAAAGCAAGACTAGATGGAAAATTGTGAATTATGCGGTACCTACAGTACAGTGACTGTATATTTAAGACACTGAAGAGATGTTTAACAACTTAATTGGAAAAAGCTGCTATACTAAGATTAAAGATATTTTTGAATACCAAAACCTTTTTTTATTAAAACATATTTATGAATAACTGAATTCTGTTTCAAAAATCCTAATCTGATTTTTTTTTGTTTCCTAAAGACTATTGTTTCTAAATTTATTCATTTAACTAGCATTGTACAATTTCTGTAATTCGATTTACATTTTGTGTAATTACAATGATGAGTATCATTAGTATCAAAAATGAATCATTAGATTATGCAAATTAAGTAATTAATACAAAAATGGTGGAAACTGTTTGATATTTAGCATGCACGCTTAAACAAAACTGAAACCTGCATAGAATGTATATTTTCATCATAGCTATTTCAATTGATATATTTGAAATCATTTTCTCAACATGATATATAAATCTAGAATATAAATTTGTAACAAAGTGATGTTTATAAGGCAGCCTACAGTACAGACACAAATTATCGCTTCGTATCTGCGCGTAACCTCTCGTAATCTGCTCGTAGGTACGTTTTGAACGTAGCTACGAACCACTACAAAGGTCATTGTTATTTTAATTAGCTTTGCAATGATCGTCGGGCTGATAAACAATGCGTAAACAATATTGAAATATAGTTTACCAGCTTTCAACACGTGAGCAATGTTGCAATTTACTAATAAACAATGTTAGAACTTTATCGTTTTGTTATATCCTACCTTATTAGATCGATCAAGTTTTAAAACTGTGTTTAGTTCGCTAGCTAGGTACAGTAAATTAGTGGGCATTCAGCATGTTCAAATTTTGATGTCATTCAGGCCTATGTATGGCCTACATTTTCCCCTATAGAGGAGGAGAGCAGACAGTAAATATACTGGTAAACTTTCCAATTCGTAGAATTTTGATCAGATATTATTGTTTTGGTAGTAGGAATTTTCTTCTTTTAAATAATAATACTCATGACAAATCATGTACAAATTATTACGATTTCTACAGATCACGTTGTTTATTGTTAACCGTAATTTGAAGCAGAACCTGCAAAGCGATCCAATACTAAATGGAAGTATAGAAATCACTACCTTGCCGAATTAAGGCTAGTCATGCTAGACTGCATTTACAGTTTTTTAGTAACTGTCGCTCACATCTTTTCAACATTTGCCACGAGGTTAACCTTTAACACACTTTACTGTGTTCTAATTGGTGCGCACACTCTGACGTCTGATGCTGGCTAAGTTTTATTTTCCATTGGGTTTTACATATGACATTCGGTAATTTTACAACCAATGGACGTTAATTCTATTTATATTTATTATTTATCTTACTAAATCAAGACTACAAAATATTATTTGATGAACAATCTTTTCACATGTGTGTATTGTCATTGAGGACATCATTTTTTGACATTTAAAAGAGGTAAAATAATTGTAAATAAAAAATAAGCTAGGCCTAGGCTAATTAATTAAAAAATAATAGAGCAGTACCAACAAGGTGAGTGGAAGAGGAGACTCAAATGAAGTCAAGTGTACGTTTTTCTTACTGAAAAACAGCTCCATACTTTAAATTAACGGTCTAAACTCATGTTTGTCATTCACAAATTATCAAGCAATACATTGTTTATTCCAGTAAGCTACAGCAGTCTTTCTGCACATACAAATAAACAACATGCTTTTGCTTCGTAGGTTCGATTCGCGTAGCCTTTCTTAGTTTATATCAGGCTACGATGTATCTACGAAGCCTGCGCACAGTAAAATTGCAATATTTCGTGGCGGTATTGTATGCTGTGCGTATACAATGCCGTATTCAGGATTTTCGTGTATATTCAGAGCCATTATTTATAGCTGCTTTACGTGTATATTCAAATAATGTGGACCCATTTTACTCAAAAATGTGAAAAATCTGGACCTATTTTCTTAAATTTTACCCATTTTAAGCTAAAGATAAGAAATCTGAACCCATTTTTCAAAAGTGGATACATTTTTTGCATAAAATTACATAATTTGGACCCATTTTTAAAAATGTGGACCCATTCTTTGTGGACCCATTAGAAAAATTGTTTGGGACTGTCCCAACTGTCCAAATAGCTGGCTATGGCATTGTGTGTGTATAACCTATAACCTGATCTTTGTACTACCAAAACATTTTTAGCTGGCTTTCTACTAATTTAGATTACTTTCATTATCAAATTTTAAGTTATTTTCTTATTATTTTGATTTCTATATAGTGCATTAGTTTAATAACTATGTAATGGAATGTGAATTGTAATATTCAAATCATTTATAAGAGGTCAAAAGTCTACCCAACCAAGCATAAATTATCCTTATCAGTTTTCAGGTCAAAGGTTGAAGGGTAGATAAATATCTCTAGATGTTTCTGACAGCTTTTAGCATTAGTACACATGTAATGTGATATTATATCATCATCATCATATTACCTTAGCATGTTTACTACCAACTTGAGGAGTCACAATTAAGGTTACAGAGAATAAATTATTTAGTAGGAGAGATGATGTATGATGAAGATGGTGGTGATGAAATAAGTGATGACAATGTAAATGAATACAGTAATAAATACAGTATGTTTCTACTATATGCTACACCTTTCTCTGTTTAGTTGACCTCGATGAAATCTAGATACCAGTACTCTTTTAAAGCAAGTTACTGTCTATAGGCTTAGTAAGCACACTGCCACCATTCTTCTTTAGAATATTTTGACTTTATTTGGTAAGGCTGACATGGTTTTCTCACAACAGGAGCCATGCCCTCAAGTAACTACTTAGGGGACCTCTTGAAAGTGGAATTAGTATTAACCAGGAGAAATAAAATCTGATATTTAAATTTTAGTAAAAGAAGAAAACACTTGCTTATTCAACTAAATTATCACGGGCATACTGTAATGACAGTAATAGAGCTAAGGGTTAATAACTTGCAATAAAAATGTTTGTTACTGTTGTGTTCACTGGAAGGCTACTGATTGTTCCATTGCTACCTAGCCAAGTGATTCCCCTGTAGCTCGGCAACTGTTTCTCACTGGTAATTCACTGGTTGTCCTGCTGCTAGCCAACTGGTCGTCCTGCTGCTTGCCAACTTGTCCTGCTGCTAGCCAACTTGTCCTGCTGCCAGCCAACTGGTTGTCCTGCTGCCAGCCAACTGGTTGTCCTAATGCTAGACGATCGATTGCTCCATTGCTAACCAACTGGTGTCCCACAGCCTAATGGTTGTCCGATTACTAGCCAGCTGAGTGTCTCACTCTCAGCCAAAATTGTCCCACTGCAAGCCATCTTGTTGTGCCACTTTCAGCTAGTTGGTTGTTCCTTTGCTGGCCAAATTATTTCCATACTGCTAGTCATCTTCTTGTCTTGTTATAAACATCAACTTTGAATACTAATTAGGAAATTGCTGACAGAAATCACCATATCCAAATCATTTGATACTTTAGTTGTCTCGGCTACTAAAAAACTTGCATCTGACCCACCTTCTATATAACTCAGACTATCAGCAAAGACAGGTCCTCCCAAATTACAATACCTGTACTTAACTCTAATAGAAAGACAAGTTAAAAAAAAAAAAAAGACTTATTGTTCTTCTGTGGACGATTCTGGAGGCATTTAAAAAAAAGTAGCTTAGTATTATGCAGTAATGTTGTACACTATGTGAAATGGTTTCATTAAATGCATTTCTGTATTCACAATTGATTTGATTAGGCTGTCAAAAGATACTTAATGGTGTTGTTTGTTTAAGCATTTGCCAGCGAATGCTAATGTTCGAATGACATCCATCTCTGAAATGGTAACTTCCTCTTGGCAACAATGAGAATCAATTTTTGAAAGAATCTAGGTTGAACGTCCATTTTCAGTTCGTCTAAAAATACCAACTCTCTTAACTGTGTACCTTAAACACTTGAATAATGTTTAATAATTTTTATTTCTGCATTCTAATTCCTAATAATATTATGTTTTTGTTAAAGACCAAAAATATCAATTGCTTTATAATCTTGTTCTTCTCTTTTCAGAAATATCAAGGGTTAGAAAGACATTATTATCAGTGAACACAGATGTCAAACCATTAGTCCTTCCAGAAACAGCAGGTCCTGTAGAAAAACTACAAGAAAAACTCTTTATTCCCACAAAGACTTATCCAGAGGTCAGTCTATTTAAATATATATTTTTTTTTTTTTTAAAGAATAAATTGTGACCATAACAGAATATATTTATTCCTAATATGTCAAGGGAGTCCATGTGTCTTTTATAATGGCTAATCATTGATAACCATACAAAATCGTGACAGATTTTTTGAAGAAACAATAAATTGAGAGGAAGTTGAAAAGGAAAACAAGTTCTTGTATGTTCAAGTTTATTATAACAAATATAAAACTTAATAAAATGTGACCAATGGATTCAATTAATAAAAAAGATGCAAATTCCACTGTTTTCTTAATGAGGTGTATCCACATTATCATATGGTTGTAATTACCTTTCCTCGACGTTATTAATTTTCCCATCCTAATGAATAATTTCCCTTCCAATGAATAACTCCTACTCCAAAAAATAATCATACATTTTGGTTTGGGGCCATGTAAAAATATATTGTAAACCTGAGGTTTGCAACCTATGGGTCGCGACCCAGGTTTGGGTCGTGAATGTACTTTTGGGGGTTGTCGGGTCGAACTTGGGTCTCAAAAATATTAGAAAGTGTTGCAATTAAATGTAAAAAAAAAAAATCCTTCATGAAAACATAGAAGTAAATAATTATTTTTAAGTTATGTTAATGTCCCGTTCATTGTCATCTTATTTACATTGACACTGTGCACCGCTAGTGGTGTACTATGAGTTTGCAGATACTGGGGTGGCAAATTATTACATTAGTATTTTGATTATTATATTGGCAGTATATTGTGACGACATTTCTAGGGGTGAGGTACTAGTGGCATTGGGTCGTGGTAGGCTATGGCAATTTATTTTGTGTCCTAGCAGGTAAAAGTTTGCTGACCAGTTGTAAACACTAAACAAGTGCTACCACCTTATAGGACTACCATTTTGTAGCTTCAAAAAATCCAAATCTTTTAATGCAGAAACTCTTTCAAAAGGAAAATTCCATTAAAAAATCCCATATTCTCTTCTGCCCCAAGAGTAGTACAGTACATACTTTAAAGGTACCGCTTGTGTTGATCTTTTATAATAAACAATGAAATTAAATATTTGAATTGGTTTACTCAGATGTATATTTTAAAGTAATATCTTTCCATGAATTGCAAGTATTTTTATCTTAAAAATTAACAGAAACATAAATAATACAAACTATAGATTCCTTCAAAATTAAACGCTATCGATTTTTATAGTAAACCGAATGTGATTCAGCAGAAACTTATTGTTTCCATCTGTGTCTCATTAAAATTTTATAAATTATTTGAAATAAGGAGCACGTCAGTGTTCAATGAATTTGTAGGTATTATTCAAATTTTAACCATAGACAGATTATCTTTAATGTTTATTTCCTGTGGCAATCATGTTTGAATAAGCTAAACCAAAGAAGCTCATTGCTTTCATAAACAAACCAAAAAGGCAATCAAGTAAATTTAACATCAATAAGCGAGTTTTCATGGTCAAACCAAAATTGATGCTTAATTGAAATACGCAATTTTGTTTCTATGAAATACAAATTGTTAGCATTAGTCATTAAGATCAAATTGCCTTTTTTTTTTCATTGTTGAGGTATAACCTTTAAATAGATTGATATAGTTTCATAGTATATAATTTAAAGCATTGCAAACTAAAAGCACATTATAAAGTTATGTATTTTTATTTTATAAAATGTTAAGGTCTGTGTTTTGTTTGTTTTGAGTCCAAATTAAATGTGTTGAATTTCACAAAGAAATCAACATTATTAATGTTAGGCTAAATAAAAATGCTTTTCCTACTGGCTTATACTGTAGGCCTATAGAATTTGTTCTCCCTGTCAAATATGACCACCTACCACAAAACATTCAATTCAAACACTTATGGGTTAAGGTTTGCATACAAACAATAACATCAGTCATGAATAAGAAGTAAGTATAAGTTAATAAACAATATAAATTTAAGAAAGTTCTGAATATGTGGTTATGGTTAGACGAGTACAAGGGGGTAAAATTTACTTCATATCTTCGCGAGGTCTGTCCACATACTCAGGTTATCAATATTTAGGCGAGACTTTATTTCTTGTTTTGCGTACTTTTTTTTTAAGATCATCAGAGGAGGGCGGAATAAAAATAAAATTTTGTTAACCTTATTTAGCAGATGGAGGAGAAAATAAAAATCAAATTTCTTTGGTGAACGTAAAATAGGATGGTTAAATGCTTCAAATTTATATAATTAGGAAGAAATATATACATCTTTTCTAGCCAGTGGAGGACGTAATAAAAATAAAGAAAAACTTTTTTTTTTTAATACCCATTTTTTCATGGCGTTGGGTGTGCTAATTAGCCAAAATTGAAATTTTATTTTTTTTAAAAATCATCAATATTTGCATTCGGCGGGTTCGCTAAACAAGGTATAAAAAAAGTCTCGCCTTTAGCGTGAATGTGGTTTCAGGTTTTCTGGTGTTTTCATTTGCGAAATTAAAGTAGTAAGTAGGAAGATGAGGGAGGAACACAACAAACATGATTTCATTTCCCTATTTGGCTGTATGAATATGAATTGTAATAATGCTTAGGCCTTTAATCTTCCAAACTGTTAACATTATTAATACACATTTATAATGGTCTTTGTATACTACACATTCATAAACCTTTACTGTCCTTTATTTGATGTTCTTAAATTACCAGCACTTTTCGTCTGCTTGTTGTAATTGCAAGCCAATACAATTATGCACACTATACTTCCTTTTTTAACAGGCAGTTTTTGTTTTCTGAAACAATACAAGACATTAATTGATAATGACAATTTGAGGAGTTTTTATGATTGCTGTAAGGAAGTGAATAATAAATTGAATGTTTTGTTGTCTTAATTAATCAAGATTAATTACAATACGGAAGGAGACATTGCAAAGAGTACTTCCAATAATCACAGACTTGCACGCTGTGTAGTATCTGCCCTGTATTAAAACTACTGTAGCAGAATAGCTAGTTAGACCATTTTCCGTTGGCTAGCGGAACCAAATCCCCTCCAGGCACATTGTGTAATGTTGTACTTTTGGGAAGATCCTTTACGTCTTTGTATAATTTTTTGTTTCTTGCATCATTAACTTTGATGCAAAAAAGAAAAAAAAAACCCAAACAAATAAGTAAACAAACTTATTCAGTTCAGGGGCTATATTAATAACCTAATGACCTTAAAGGATAAAAAGTACCTTTCCACCACAAATCTTCTCAATTATATGTAAGCAATTTAATATTATGTTTCCATGGAAACTATGTGCCCTGTGAGTTATTTGAAAACCTAGTGCACTCCAGGTTCCGCAAGTGCTTCTCACCAAACAGCCTCCTATAACAAGCACCTGTGCACACCCACCGGAATACTTGCTGAGACGTAGGTTCTTCCTCTAGCCTCCCATGCAGCGAGTTAAATTGACATCCAGACCAGCAATTTTATTTTGTTGTTGCTAATCTTGTGTGTTTGGTTGCCTATTGGTTACTTATTACTTTTTGTTGTTTGTTATACATAAATATTATTTAAAATGTGTTAATGCTTGAATGTTATGATAGGACATGATAAAATTGATAGAATTCCAATAAATTAATGAAAGGAATGTTTTTTATGATAAGGGTAATACAGTTCTCCATTAGAGTACAGTTTGCAAATGAATAAACCAGATTCCACTTGTTTATAGGATCTTAAGTTAGAGCTTAGATTCTGAAGTTTTTAAGTCTACAACATGAGAATAAGTAAAATTCAGGTCATTGAATCACAGCGAGAGAGTGTTGGTATGCATTAGACCTTCTCAGGGGTGTCTTCAAAACAGAATTCTTTTCAGAATCCATGCTCGAGTTGCCCATTTATTTATACCTTCAGCAGTATTTAGGATTTTAGAATTAATGTTCGGGTGTCAAATGCTTTAAATCGCTTGTTTTAGCATTCATATAATTCAGTTACATCAGTGGTATGAGTATGGTAATAATGTAAAATTTCATTATGTAGTGAATTTATAAGCCAGTACTTAATTTAAACACAATGTGAATGATAACAATTTTGATTAAGGAATTAATAAAAGTATTTTTGAATGAACTATTACCGACAAGTTAAACAGGCTTTTAAGATAGACCATTAAGCAGCATGGAGCTTACAATACTGTACAACCATTGTATATTGTATTTTACAGGGTACAATTATCTGACTAACAACAATGCTTCTACTTATTTCAAAACTGAATCGTGCACACTGATTGATATTTTATCGGATTTATTGTACGATTGTCAGAAGTAAATACAGATACTTTTTCTATAGAAAGGTTCCCGTTGGCGTAGTGGCGATACGCTTAAGTGCATCTAGGCCTTTCTGTTTTAGTAACACTAATACTGTCTGCCTGATGATGATTGTTGTCGAATGAAAAGCCAAATTCTTAATATTTGACCTTAACAGTAGAATGAGCATTATCAAAAAGATCCCCTAAATAATTGAGCTCTGATTTTATACCAAGCCAAGTGGAAATTATACATTTTTGTTTTTTTTCTAAGCATTCCTCCACCAGCAGGACTCCAGTCTAACAAAGGAGCGAGCGCTGACACCACAGTAAAAAAAAAAAAAGTAATTATATAAGGTAGATGTACTCTTAAGTGAAAAAGTAATAATTATGAATTACTGTTTTGTAATATAGCAAGTGAATTATTGCTGCGAAGCAGCCAATTCATATTCTTGACAGCAATTTGACCTCTGAAAGGTCATTGTTTGTCAAAAAACAATCGCCTAAGACAACTGAAAAGCGGAGTTTCCTTCTTTCGTTCTGCCAGGTAAAATCAATTACTTTAGGTGACGTTCGTAGACTAACCTACTCGTACCAACGTTGGCATGTCGCGACGCTGGAGTACTATTCAGCGTTTTTACTATATTTCTAGGTTTCCTATTTCTACGTTTAATCGGCTCATGTCTCAGCCACAATATTTTGAGGCCAATATTATTTACGAACCCAGTTAAACTTATTTACTAGCCTATTTCAATGTGCTAATTATTACATTTAGGTGACGCTTGTTGTAGACTGGCATAGTGTTTTTGGAAATAAATACCATTTTATACACATGCGCAGATCGATTCGCCAGCAGCGAGTCATCGCCAGCAGCAGCGAGTCGCCAGCAGAGAGATGTCAGAGCAGCAAAACACTATTGTACACGGTACCAACGCTGTTCTAATATAGACAAAGGGTCGTGCTCATATTATTTCTTATATTTTTATTATTCATTATTTTCACTTGACTCGCATAAATAATTTTGTTCGAAGAACATTTTATGCAGTTGTACTTCGCAGCACTTCACTTGCAATTTGCAATTTCTACTATATAGTAGCAAGTTTTGATTTGGATGGCATGTTTACCAGTTATTATACTGGTAGGTCAATGGTTCATTCCATTCAGTGTTTTATTTTGTTCCACAGTACTGTAAAAACTTACTGTTCTATTGTTTATTTCTAGATAACTTTCATGTAAGATAATTTGTTCAGTAGTAAGTGAATTCAAAATTGATAACAGTGTTCACATACAATGTGAATATAAAAGCTTAACATGTGTAAAATATCTTTTAATGAAAAGCTTAATATTCTTCTGCTTTTATCCTGCTATTCCGAGTGTGTGATTAGCAGTATATAATTGAAGCTTAAACTTAATGAGATGATCACCTAATGCCCTGCATGGCAATTATGCATATTAAATGTGTTTAGCAGGAATTGTTTATGCAATGGAGAAAAAAATCTAGAAACTGTAAGCAACATTTCCTCATTACTCTTATTAAATACAAGGGAATATATCGGTAGATTAATGCATAACGCTATCTGTTCCTGACCGTGGCTGACACATGTCATAATATATTTAAATACAGTTGTTATAATACAAGTTTTACTGTAATCATAAATATCGGGGGGTAATACATGGTAGTTCTGAAGTGACTGTGTACATGGCTGGTCTTGTCATGTCTCGTTCATTATATAATGGTTAAACTATCCCATCAACAAATTAAATGTTAAATAAGAAAAACATGTTTTTCATCTGCCTTGCATATTAGTTGTTTTTTTTTTTTTTTTGCTGCTGCTTTTGCCAGACACCTAGAAAATTAAAAATGATCACATTGTCAATATTTTTAGAAGGATTAATTTAAGACTCAACAATATTAACATGAGGTATAGTCAATATAATCAACTGTTTCTAATAAGAGTTTACATAACATTAATGATTTCCCGAGTCGGCAAAAAGTACTAAATATTGTGGCGCAAACTCCGATATTAATTTTGCCTGATAGTCGATATAGAAAGCAACTCATATTGACAGGGTATCCCTCAACATAGTAATCTTCAATTCAAGCGTATGGCTATAAAACTTAATATCTTTAAATATTTTGTTTTTAATGTATTCAGTATAACATGTAATATGATTATGTAATGAAGTAAAACTATAAGAAGTTATAAAAATTATTAGAAAAATCTCAAAATGTTAACTATATTCCTTTTTTCTTCAACCTTCAGTATAATTTTGTAGGCCGAATACTAGGGCCGCGGGGATTAACAGCAAAGCAACTAGAAAGAGAAACAGGATGCAAAATAATGGTGAGAGGTAAAGGATCAATGCGAGATAAAAAGAAGGTAAGTGGGCCAATGAATCCATTTATACTTGCAATGCAATGCCAACTACTACTAATTTTTGGTGGCAGCTCGCCACATTGTGGTCGCTATAGTGTAATGCTGATGCTGCGTAGCTTAAGCCATTTGCATACAGTAGCTTGAATCCGTGATAGCAATTGATGGATTGTCTACTGTAGGGGTTTCTCAAAATGGAAATTGTTTGAAGCAAAAAGTAGCTAAAATCACTTCATATCACCTTATTTTGCAAGCTAGCTTAAACTCAGCCCTACCATTGTAAGACTCCTAGACGCAGGGTTCACGGAACGCTGCCCTCAGCGCCGAGTGCGAAGCACAACTCAGGCTCAAAAGTGGAACGTGAAATTTGGATATGGTTTTGCGAGAAAAACTTCAGCTACCCGTATTTCTCGACTGAGACGTCAGTGGGAGCTGTAATTTGTATGGCAAGGAGATTGTGCAACCCTTCATTCGTATTAAGAGAATTTACGCCCATAAACTTTGTAGTTATTAATATTTGGTTATAATAGAAAATATTCATTTTTTGGTGACGTCACACTCACATTAGTTAGCATGCATACGTCATAAGCCAGGGCTACAAGAGCCGCATTGTTAGCATTGTATAATACTTAAACAAGGTACCTCTGCAAATGAATTATTCTTAGTTATTTTTTTTTTTTATTTGAATTTATTTCTTCCGAAAGTGTACTCTCTATCGCATATAATTCCACAGTCTTAGTTAGGCCTAGGCCTAGTCTTATGCCTCATCGTCCCCCGCTACACAGTACATCAGCAGCCCCTCCCCCATACAGTACAGACGTTTGCTAGGTAACAACGTGATTGCACCTTCCTTCCCAGGTGTTCATGTAACATAGACATAATTGATAGCTAACCAGTTGTGTGTATTTCTTTGTGAAAATGAGTACCACAGCGTACTCATTTTCACAAAGCATTTGCATCCCCTCTTGGAAAGAGGGATTCGAAAAAATAATTGTCTCCATATCTTCGCTAATTGAATTAATCACCGTAATTTAGCTTACACTTATGAATTTAGGGAGCACTTAAAATGTGAAATAATAATTTCTCTACCCGACAAACTCTGAATTTCATTCATCAGGCATAATGGTTTCATATTGCTGTACTATATATTCCAACGTCACTGGCGCATGGTAACAACCAACTGACTGCAGACCATTTCCGGTCACACATTACTCTCCATAACACAGCACCCCCTAGTTCCGTCACCTCTGGATAGGCCTACCCACTGATTGCAATATGAGCCTAACCCAATAGTACTATGTTTGGTAAATCTGTGCTAAAAGTAATTTGATTTAGCCAGTGAATATTGTTAAACATTCGTGTGTTTAATTAATTTTTCTCTATTGCAAAAAAATTGTTCTTGTTTATTTTTATTTTCTTTGCTGAAGCTGTATGAGTGGTTAAAGATAAAAATATATTAAATATGATAAACTTTTTAATATTGTACTTACAGGAAGATCAAAATAGGGGTAAGCCAAATTGGGAACACTTAAGTGAAGAGCTACATGTTCTGATAACAGTTGAAGACAGCCAAGACAGAGCGAAGGTCCGTCTCAAACGAGCAGTCGAAGAAATTAAGAAACTTTTGGTTCCAACAGTAAGTCAATTATTATATTTATTTATTTACTCGGTGTAAATTGAGGATTTGATACTGACCTACAGAATTCAATGCAGGATCGTGAACAAGGAAACAAAGCTATTTCAGATGATTGGTTTATTTTATTTTTATTACCATAATAAGTTAATTTCTTCGGAAGTTCTGTAAAATATTTATATTTGAATAGTCCGCCATGTTTTTATTTTGTTTTTCTTAAGCACCAAAGCATTACTTTACATCAGCCCTATATAATTTTCAGTATTGATAATACATACTGTTTCATTTGTATCATATGTTCAGCAAATCAATAAGGTTCATTCTTATTTCCAAGTAACACATTTTTTGAATATGAATTTTGATAAATGGATCATTTGACATAAATATTTAATGTTAGGAGAAAACATTTTTTCAAACATTCACACCCGATAGTTATGAAAACGTGCATTGAGACAATTCCATAGAGCTGCAAATATATGCATTGCAATTTGAATTATATTTACGATGCGATGGTCTAACAGACATGTTTGCCTTACGATTCTATGTAGATATTCAAATACACCATGCGTTGAATCTATTCAGTGTGTTTGAGATTGAACAGTCCAGAAATTGAAATCAAATTAGGTGATTCTTGTTTTCTTGACCTACATACTAAATAAATATTTAGAGCGATCTATATCGGTTAAAGTCAGCAGAATGTGTAAAGTGTTGAACATGTTCATAGATTCTAATTATTCAGTATGACTTATTATTCACAAGTAATGATCAATATGTATCATTACCTACAAACGAAATAATAGAATAATAATAACAACCAAGCTAGTTATATAGAATTTCCACAAACCTTTATTATTTACTTTACACTATTCAGTATGTGGGTTACCTGCAGATATTTAGATTACCTTTTCATGAGTTGATTAAATTACTACCCATGATTGTAATTTTTACCCTGATTCTTAAATGTCAATCTTGCCGAGAATTCTTTGTTTCAACTGATAAACCGCTTATGGCATCCTGCTGTCTTGGCACTCAGCTCTACAGAAAAAAAAAATCTATATCTCAAGCTTGAGTGATTTTCCTCGCACATGAAAGGGTAAGATAGAGCAAGCTGGGTCAAACTTTCTGGAGAAGTTTACTCAAGGGATATGTCTAATACTTGACTGTATTATGTATGTGTACTCTTCACTGCACTAAGGCTGCTGCAGTATAGGCTTTTAAATATGCATTTTTAATCATCATTTGCCTTTATACCAAATTATTGATTATTCCATTCAGATATATTATTACATAATGTTCAAATTACTTTTAAAAAAAAATTATTACAACCAACCTAAGCTCAAGTTAATTTCTGCAAAATTCCAAAATATGATTAGTTTTTTTCACATTTTTGTTTTGTCTTCCCAAGAAACATATGTTCATAATTCAGGTGTGTAGGCCTAATAGTAGTGCTATCATGACAATACACTTAGTAATATTGTATAGAGTAACATAGTAATATAACAATACATTAAAATGGTAGTTTCCAAAGCTACTATAGTATAATAGTGCCATAGTAATATCTCAATAGTACATTAGTAAAAATATAACCGTACCAAAATATTATACAGTAGTAGTAGTAGCAGGAAACATAGATCTTAAAAAGATCGAAATTGTTCTTTCCAAGATCGCATTCTGTAATTTCACAAGACATTAAAAAAATCATAATGATATATAGTGGTAGTATGATATAGTGTACCATGAAAATACCAGTGGTAAACTTGGTTTTTGTGAGAGAAAATTTCAATAGTTATAGTTTACTATTATGTTGTCATGCGGAAAATATCATATAGGCAAATGAACACAAAGCCAAAGTAGTTGTGGCATGGATCAGCTCTGTAGTTGTAGGAAATCCTGCTTATCTAGTTAGGGACAGTCTTCCAAGTTCATAAAGTAGACACTGCCATTCTGTAGTAAAACAACCCAACAATAATATTCTGTAATATCTACCATTCAATTGTCATCAGTTTCACCTTGATAGGGTTTAAAATTTAAAGCCAATGTGTAATTAACTATCTATAAGCATTTCAATGCAGGCTAAGATGGTCTTTCTGGACTCTACAGTGTACACTAAATACAGGCTTGTCTGTGAAGTCTTCTTTTAATTAATTAATGTTCTTGGCTAGTTGTCAACTCTATCAAGTAGTAAATGTTTGACCATGTTGCCAAATTATTAATTGCTGTGATTTTAATAAATTGTCATACTGTAGAAGATGTTGAAAATGCACAAATTAATCATAGATGGTGACAAACCAAGATGCTAGGAAAGAAATAAAGTATTTTTTTTTCATACATCAGTACATCTTCAAAATATTATGGTGCTTACTTGACTCAGCATTTTAAAAATGTGTAAGTTATGGTGTGTGAGGTAGGCTTAAGAGAAATAAGAACATTTCAGACTCGATATTAGCTATTAGTTCAACCTACAGAATGGTTTCAATGATTGAACCAATTAAAGTTATATAATTTATGAAATTCACAAAAATAATTATTTAAAATCCCTTAACCAACCTATTTATTGTATAATATTTGTTCAATACAGTATCATGTTTTGTTGCCATTGTCTTAAATTTAAAATTACTTAGTAGGTCTACTTGAGATTTGAACAACTTTAGAATAAGATAACACTATAAAAGGCATTTCTTAGTCATTGTTGATTTTTTTTTTAGCTGGTCAAAATTCAAGGGTGAGTAGTGATGCAAAAATATTTGGCATTATCTGGTCAAACCTGTTTATAATGGCTCATTTTACCTGCCATGAAATTTGCTTGGCCCATTGTACTTCAAAATAATAAAATTTTGTGTAGGTATTTAAGAAGATTCTTTAACCCATCAAAAGTAAAAGGCTGTAGGCAAGGTTGAAATTTATTCTGTTAGATCAAAAGATCAGAAAGCTATAATCAAACCTGTTTTATCACAGTGTTATCCAGTGTAAGTTCTTGCAACCCCAGGAAAACAAAGCACATGCTTATTCCATTATTCTGGGACAACCTTGAGTGGCTATGGACCTGTGCTTTAACTACTTCCTGTTAAATTAGTAAGGGGAAATAGCCAATAACAGTTACCAATCCTTCTAAAAAACTTTGAAGAAAAGCACTTTCTAGAGTAACATGAAGTGTAAAGCCAACTTTAAGCAGGCTTGCTCTTAAGGAAATATGCTTAGCATTATATGAAAATGACACCTTGCAAGTATGTGTATATTTATAGGTTAATATCAGATGTAGGTCTTGCATTAGCCAACATAAATTTATTTTTAAAATTAATCCATGAAAAATATGAATATAAAATTCAAATGGCAATATAGAATAAAAACTTAGTTTGAAATTACTTGTTTCATGGAGCTACTATAGCTATTTTGCTATTTTCTTTAATAAATCTGATAGAATAATAGAACATCACAGATTGAATTTGACTGCTGAAGTAATCTCTATTGAAAGTGTCCAATTTACAACCTTGAAACCTGTTTTTATGTTTTCATACCTATTTGGACTTTACCTCATTGCTTTGGCCTTCTGTTATGCAAATTCTGCTCTACAGAAGTTCAGTCCTTGAAGAAACTTCAGCTACAATGTATTTTAATGGCTTCTTTTCTTAGCAATTGCAGAATAGCTAAGCAGCCCAAAAGCTATTATACCTGTTTGCTAGTGAAATAATAAATATTTCCATGCTCATAAAACTATCACAGTATCAGATCTCTTTTTATAAAGGAATTTTTTAAACTAGATCAAGAATACTGTCATAGGCTCTGAATTGCATTTCTGTCAATCCCTAGAGAGATAGTATAGTAAGCACAACTTTTCTTTAGTAACCTTTATGTATAGGCTTCAATAAAGTGTGATTATCAGGTGGTAAAAGTCAAGATTCACTCAGATTTGTAATTTAAATTTTGCATACAGGTAACAAAATTTAGGGAAGTCTTCTTATAGTAAGAATTTTTTAGCTAAGAAGTAAAAAAAAAACAAAGAATTGTGTTCACACCAGTGTTTTCTTTTCAATAACTATCTTACCTTGGGAATATGTCTTCAATCTCATCTTCACTTGATTGAATTACTCAATCAATCATTAATTATAGATGATATTTAAGGTAGAAAGTAAGTCAAGCGAAAGAAGGCTATAATCTGCAAAAGAAAAAAAAAAAGTGAGGCCTTCCTCTTAATTCAACATCTCCATATGAAAACTCAAGGGGACAGAGATAAATCATGTTGCTGAACTCAAAAAGATTGGTTTATTATTTTTTAATAACTTGCCTCGATGAAGAACGGGTAAAATTCATCACATTATCTGATGTAATATTGCTAGGTATTGATCAATGACTAGACAAGATCCTGATTTTAATTTCAAAGAGAAAAATATATATTAAATACATATCAATATTAAATATAATATAATCATATAGTTATAAAACACAAGTTGTCATTAGTAGGATAAATTATGAGATTGTTAATTTATTAATTAAAATGAAAAACCTTTCTCAAAGTTAGTCATAAATTAGTGGCTAATGACTCACCATGTATCAGGTGAGTTTACAATTAACCTAGAGTTTAGAAAAAACTAAATTTGATGATGCCCTGTGTGTGGGTTGTTTATTATTCCTCTGAATTAAAGAAAGGTCTAACCTTCACAATATGCATATTATCATTGTCATTAGATGTAGTTTTATCTTGCGTACTTTAGGAGGCCTATATTTAGTACATGTAGCCCCATTACTTTATAATTGAACTCGCCCTACATGCTAGTAGAAATATGTCATTGGTGCTGTAAGTGTAAGAAAAATACATTCGTACCATTTTTCTTCTGCCTCCAGACGATGTCCATAAGTGGCAATCCTAATGGCTAAACTTTCAACTACGCTAAGCCGTTAAAAAATAGAGTCTCTAGGCCTATAGCACCACAAAACATGAACTCTGACTAGCATAATTTGTAAGGCATGGTTAATTGTTTTTGTCTCATTTTTGAAGAAACTTTGGT